CTCAGTTCAGTTGTTTCAACAGATTTTGGAGAAAATATAGGATTTCAAATTGTTTCAGGTATAGAAAACCCTTAACATGTTCTGCCTATTTTCTTGAGCTATTGCTTTCATGAGATTCGAATAATAATAGCTGCAAAATATCAACTTTTTGCGTATTTCAAAAAGTGATGAAATATTAATGACAACTTTTAAGTGATGAAATATCTATCAATAATGATGATTGATACGATCAGTTTTATAATTATTTTATAGTTCCAAAAATATTTGTTGAAAGTATCACCTTCATCACCGTCTTGGAATTCAACTTTGAATTTAATCAATTCCAAATACTGTGCACAATATCCCCAATAACGATAAATATAGAATTTTGAGTACCCACAACTTTTTCCCAATAAGTCTACATCAACTATGGTGTTTCCCAGGGATCAGTTCAAGGACTCGTATGTACTTGCTTGTTTTGAAATAATGAGAGCAATGAAAACCACAGCAACAGTAGCATTGGGGACACTCTTGAATATACCCTCCTTAAATCCAGCAAATAATTTCATTATTTTCGATTGAGAGTGATTTTCTGTTCTGTTTTTTCCAGCTGAAATTCAACCAAGTTTTCCACAATTTTTTTCTGCCTATCATTGGAGACATTCTTCACTCTTCTTTCAAGAATTTCATCATTTTGTCGAGGGTCGATTTTTCATTCTTAAAATAAGACGATTGTACTCTTATTCTAATTGCAAGTTTGTAGTTTTCATATCGATATATCGAACTCTAGTCATTGGCGAACACATTTCCACCAGAGTATCAACGGTATACGAAGGATTTTGATGCAAGAGAGCGTCATTCATCTTTTTGTTAACAGAAAAAGCACATATGCCATTCGTCTTACTGGACAGGAAACTGAAGTAGCTATTTTGATTCACACACTAAGTATAAATCTACTAATAACGACACTAATTGAGATGCAAGGGTTTTATTAATAATTCATATTCTACAGGTAATATAGTAGCTAATTGAAACACTATTAGATCGCGGATGGTTTTATGACGCCATACTCTTTTCCAGGAAAAATTGACAATATCTCAGGATTTACACAGATAAGCTGTGCAAGTACGTGATACATTAGAAAGTGCTTTCCATAGAAAGTATTGAAAATTTCAATAGAAATTCAGAAGTAAAAATAATTTTGATTGTTCAATTAAAAAATATCTATTGATTATTAATGCGAGTTTTCCATATTTTTGTAACCCACTGCATACATACAACTATAAAAAGTGTTTTGAAAATTATCATTATATATATATCATACAACGATATTGAATATTTACAATAAATAGGTACTACTTTTTTCACTTTTTAACCGGCTCAGTTATGTTCGCCAATTGAACAGCCACTTGAAAATGATTTATAACTCGATTGCTTAAGGAAATAGAATACAGTTAAATTAATTTTCATGAACTTTATTTTATTCAGTCGTTAAGAACTATCCATGTGGATGGATATCGATATAAATTAGCAGATTAAATTCTAACCGTTTATTTTCCATGATGGCGATTCTTCATATTGAAAGGAAAGCCATGGTGAAGGTGTGCATCTGCCGGAAAAAGTTGAAAAAGAAATTGCACCCTGCGAATTTTTATGTTATTTTTCAAATACTAATAGCAGGTCAGCTGAATACTATGTCCAGCATTCAGAAGGTGTAGCGGATTTTTTAAATAGATTAGTTATTATATTGTCTCAAAAATATGAAGTTAACTAATAATTTCTGACAACTGAATTTCAAAATTAATATATCATTTAGCAAAAAAGTTTTGGTAGCATTAAAAACGTTAATAATTCTTATTAGGGATGATAAAAAACACTCAGGTCGGTTGTATCTGAAAGGAAAACCGTGAATGAATGATTATTTTTTTAGCAAATGGCTTATAGGTAAGTTATTTCTGAAACTATGGATATAGAACAAAAGTACCAGAACAAAAATACCCGAAAATCCATGAAATACCTACATATATGCTAAAGGAATATTTAAAGTTGAGAATATCCCAAGCGCGATAAAATGAAAAAACTTCAACAAATTATTAATTGGTAATACTTTTCAGAGGAATGTTAAATGAGTATACTGTGTGATAAAAATGTAGAATTCAGAGGAGTGTTGAATAATGAATAAGAATTTACTTCGCTATACTTCGCAATATACTTGTATTCGACCAAATCTCAACAGTTCTAATGTACTTGTGAATAAAGTGAATTGAAATAAACTTCCGTTACTTCTTTCCTTAGTATCAATTGAATTTATTATTAGTGAAAATACGTAGCATTCTACCAAATTTAATCATGAGAAAAACAGATAGAGTGGAGGAAGGAGTGTCTTTCGCGAATGGTAATTGCTACAAACATGGAAGAAGTCAGAGAAGATCATGTTGAGGGCTACTATAGTGCCCTTCACATCTCACTCGCCTGTTCCATTTCGGAAACAAACACACCGTATTTTACAAAAAATGGAAATCTTAGTATTTTCAAAATCTCATCAGTTTACGTTCACGACTCATTCTTTGTCGCCGTATTATTTTCGTACGTGAACGTTCAAGATCACTTTATTCTGTTCTCTTCGAAGTCAGTGTAAACAGTTCCTAAATTGAAAAAGCGGTTTGAGAATAACTGGATTCTCCACAGCCCAATGCTGCATACAAGATTCACTTTCTTTGGCGCAGAAGCAGAAATACTCGATCATTTCAGGATAAAACGAATAACAAAACACTAAACCGTCAATTAAAAGAAACAACCAAATGATATGTCCTATAAGGTTGAAAATCTCTCGAGACTAGGCGGATGTTGTCAATTTAAACAATGTAACTTTTGATCTTTAAGGAGAAACAACTTTAGTCCTACGTTGAATCTTAGCGATGTTGCCAGGAGTACCGGCAATAAATTCGGCAGAATTGTTGTTTCTGAATGCCTGTTTTTATCAACGTAGGGTCCTGAACTGATATTTGCTGCCTGGGCATTATCCCTGAAAAGTGTAGGTTTTTTTAGTAGGTGTTGAGTTACCCGGATAAGATTCATCTCTATTGTTTCTAATTTGGAAAGATTTGTCAGGTAAAAGGATCAAATTATCTCAGAAAAGTAATTGTTTTCTTGCTTGATAGGGCCTGACCAGCGCACACTACGGTGAAAAAAATAATAATAATAATAATGTTTATCAAATCCTTCAAGATCACAAAATGATATAGGATACGTCACATGGGAAATGAAATACGTACACACTTATATATACATACATACCTATATATATGATATACAATCATACGAATAGAACATTTCATAAATCGAATTTCATTAGTAACTTTTATATTATCAGTCCTTACGTGCACTCAAATATTCTGCTGTACTTCAAAAGCAACAATTAATCAAAATTTATTTCAGTTTGACTTAGAGAACCGGCTTAACCGACCCAATTTTCGGTTTGTCGGGGGAAATTCCTGGCATTATATATGCCAGAGGTTCGCAATTGAAGTTCATAATATGATTTATAATTTTTGAAGAAATGCAATCGATTCCCACAGCGTTTGTGTTTTTAAGGCTAGATATATGAGAAATAAAAAACACTGTAGAAAACACGTATTCAAAACCAAAACAACACAATGACAAACATTGGGGTTAAGAAAACAACAACAATAAAAAAAATAAAATTGGCACTCACAGTATTAATTAATCTGTTGCTGAGTGTGTATTGGGGCCGCTAAGGAAAACCATCATGGTATTGTTGTTGAAACCGAACAGGGAACTTATGTATTTTTTCATTTCCCACAAAATGTCTGAAAGTATCGAAACACCAATATTTCTATCATCAGCGTTTTGCAGAAAGACATATTTTTCAATAACAATAACTTGTGGTTCATCAACACCTTAACTGGACGCCAACATCTCGTATATATTTTTGTTAAATTAATGTACTTCTTTTTGATGAAGATTGAGAAATCCATTGCCTGATTGAAATGAATGTTAATGATTTCGATTTTGTGACAATACTTTGATGATGAAAAAAGGGGTTTTCGGCACCCTACTTCTACATCTTATACGAAAAATGTGGGAAACTTCTGAAGGAAGGAAAAGAGCAATTAAGTTGAAAATAAATTTTCCGCAAAGATATGTAAATATTGCATAAAGTTACCCTTCCAAAAATAACTACTTTCTCGTGGTTCTGGTTTCCTTTCAGTGGAAGAGCTTCATGAAGCAAGAGCCGAATCGATCCCTCTATGGGATCACTTGGAAGGAGAGAAATGGTTCTTATGCAGATTCTGCGAAACATGTTCTTCCTTACGAATGCTACATAAATATCTTTTTAGAAGTGTGGAGAAGTAGAAAGCCAAAATCCTTTATGTCTGTAAAAGTAAGCTTTCCTAAAAATATACCCGTTCCAACGCAAATCTAGATAATTGATTGAATTCCAGTTTTTCCATAATTGTAGTAAATGTAGGTATATAAAATTCGAGACATCATATTCAACTATGCCCCCAATATGTCAACTAAATATGATGACATTTCGTAATACCTCCTTTCACAAGAACACCAGGGTCTCCTGATTTTGATATCAATTTCAAACCCATATATAGTTATATCCAAAACAAAACCCAAATTCATATCTTCAAGACTGGATAATAAAAAATAAATTACCCAATGCTGATAAAAACTAAATATACAAAATGAATTATTGAAATAATTTGATAGAGAAACCTAGAAAACTTTTGCTCTAGTTTGAACCCCAATAAATTCATTTAATACTCTGTACCAGTACCAATAACCTGTATCTATTGAAAACAACAGTAACATGTATAATTTATAAACTGGCCAATTCTCTCGAAATAAAAATCGAACAGTATCAATAGCTTTTATCCTAAAAAAAATCCGAAATGTGAATGTAAATTATCCATTTGGCAACGTAGCCATAATATACCAATTCAAAGCCTCCCCACCCAGGCAGCGGAGTAGGAGGTTATGAACACAGCGACCACTAAAACGACGTACGCTAACTTCGTAAAATCGAGTATTCAGTCACAGAGATTGCGTCGAAAAAACAGCACGCGATTGCTGCGTCGTGGAATAGCGCCCATTTTCGTAAAAAAAACAAATAGCGAGTCTTCCTCAAAAGCAGAATCGGTGTGTTGTGTGTACTGTAAATAAATATTTCAACATCAGTGTGGGTGCCAAAAGAGGAATATGTCTACAGCAATAATGTCACAGAATGCCATGTACGAGTTCGGAGAGAGCTTAATAAAGGTAAACAACCAAAAAACGCCAGTTCTCCTGTTTTCTGGTATCACGCTGTAGGTATACGCTACGCCTGAGGCGAGCCAAGCAGTGCAACAGGTATCAAAAACGCGTCTCAAACCCTACCTTCGTGTTGTTAATAAATTGTGCCCAAACGGACCAGGTAACAGGTAGTAGCAGGTAGTGTTTGTAGATACGTATTCTTTCCTGCACTTAAACCGGCTTCTCGATTTGAAATCTGGGAATACGATTCACTAGAAAATTCTACCTGCTGATTGCTTCAAATTTGTTTTTCCAATTCGTGTGTAATTAGCATTAATTATATGTATGGGATCCTGGAATATATTTGCGTCTATCAAAAATTGAAATGTGGACACAATATAAGTTGGATTTCAAATTGGTAATGAAAGTGAAATTACCTACTCAAACTCTATACAATCAACTATTTACTTGGGAACTCGTTGAAATTGAATAAAATCAAGACAGGATAATTATATGTATTTTCAAGAATAGTCTTACCTACCCAGCAATTACCTCATCAATGAGAAATAAAATTAGCTAATTTTTCCATGTGTAAATCATGCACCAATTCATACACCTCTTTGAGTGATATTCAAATCGTATTGAGTATTGTTACGCCCGAGGATGCTACCATATAGCGAAATACTTGTCGCAAATTTGTGATTTTGAAACTGCTTAAGGAAAAATTATATGGATCTATAGGGCAGAATTAACAAAAATTAAGGGAATTTTTCATATAGGTTTTGTATATTTGAAAACAAATATCGCACCTAGGTACATAGGCATATGAGAACTTCAGGAACAATTTCCATATACCTTGTGGTTTAGTACTCCTAGTACTGAAATTAAATTCTTAAACTATTGATAAACCTTTCAAATCGCATTTGGCATTTCAATTTCTCAATACAATTGCCTATAGGTGGGTTTATGAAAATTATTAGGAGACAAAGTACAAAGGTTTTGAATAAATTAATTTTCAATTTGAAAGGTCTATACACTAGATCTGTAGGTTTGTAGTATTTTGAAAGTAAGCCATTTCCCTTTAAATATGAAATTGTTATTGAATTCTTTCAAAGCCTGAGTAATCGTCTCCCGTCCCTGGATAATTTATTGAAATAAGGTTGGCGCCAGTTTAGGCATCTTACCTGTTGTTTATCAGTATCCTTCCTTAGTTTGATGATAAAGTGCCTAGTCACTCTTGTACCTTCTGATTCGAAGTTCAGTACCTAGACAAGAAAGTATGGAAAGCAGTGTGCAGTGTTTATGTCTACCAGTGTGCTCATTTTCTCTTTCTACTTTCGAGAGACGTGGGGTATGTATCTTTCACTGAATTTCACGGTGAAATTAATTCCTCCTTGAATAATATAAAATTATATAGTAAGCGCCAACTAAGTAAATCCGTACAAGAAAATATATCAAGCTTCCACATGAGGAAAAAACTAAAAATTGGTAATAAAAATATTGGTACAGGTAGAGAAGAGTAATTAGTTCGCTCCCACAAATAGGTAATATAAGTTCATTCAAACCATCGATGTGTAAATTGACTTTTCATCAATGTTCTGTCTTCGTAGATAGGCTCATCATATCCCAAGAAAATTTAGGTATGACGATTCATTGTTCAATAGTTTTTGGGAACTTATTTTCTATGAATGGTTCCTATAAGTGAAGTAAAAGTTTATTCAGGTGTCAGATTGAAAAAAAAAATTGAATGTTTTTGAATACCCAGTATTTTGAATTAGAATAAAAAATAAAACTTTCAACAAAAACAGTTCCCCTTACATCAATTTTAGAAATGTTATATCCTGATTTTTTTATATTGAACGAAACTCATAGACATAATATTGAACATTTATTTTTTCGAATATGCTTTGATTTTTTCAATTGATATTTTTCAATTTGTAGGCAAAATTTATGAATACGACAAATTACTCACTAATTGGACTTTTCAGTAGTTTATATTACGCAGTAACTTATCGGGGTGAAGTTTTCAGTTTGCCCTTCGACTACACTTCAGCAAATTCTCCATGGATTAAGCTTTCATTTTTTCAGATTGTGGAAGGTTATAAACTCAAAAAAACAATATAAAATATTGAGTTCTCCTCAAAAAATGTCGTTTAAAGAATGTTCTGTATCCTTTCATAGCTATTCTGCCCCATTCTTCGTCTTACTAGATTTTTTAGAACAGAAAATGAAACTTTCAAAATGTTTACGAACAGTTTCTATTTTGTCAATTTTATCTGTTCTTGAGGTATGAACAAGCTACTTAAGTAAGCTGAATTTTTTTTCAGATGTGTATGACTGAGTGGTTGAAAAACTTTTTTGAATGTAGTTGATGATAGGTTTCTTGTTGGGTACAAAACACGTAAACATTTACTAAAAATATAGCCAGCGTAGAAATGCAACTAAACATAGGAATATCAGAACATATTTTTTTCTTTTACACTTGTTCCGAAACTTGTTCTGTTCAACTTTTTTATGGAAAAGCCAGTCATTAAACCATAAGTACACTTATTCGGAAAAAAAAACTTCTGTTTTATCATATATTTCCACCCCAGATTAAGACTCTTTGAAATTTCGGGTATTCGAACTCGTAGAAAAATTCAACCTGAAACGAGTATAGTAAGTATTTTCAGAGATATACAGAATAGGAATATTGACTAGAGTATGTGAGCACAACAGAGTCCATGCAAAGCCTCTTAATTATTAACAATAATACTTCAATTCATACATACGTGGTGGTTTTATCGTTCACGTTTAAAATGTCAATTCTCTTTATATCTGAAAACACCGGTATGCCTCCAAAACATTTATCCGATATTCACATATATATTCTTCTTGCTTACTTCTTATCAAATATTTCTGTCCACTCTTGGATTTCAAACCTATTGATTATATTAGACAATGAAAGCTACACCTTCGTTGAAAATGTTGAATGGTTTTGAAGTTCAATCAAGTCATCACAACATTTTGGGGTCTTGAGTAAGAGCTAAGTCATGTGATTAAATTAGGGGTTAGCTTCTCACTCGACTCACCATTGAAATTGAATCCATATTCATTGCTGTGATTTGTGGAAAGTTACATGTTGTAATTGTTTTCTACTTTTTTTATTATTCGAATATGGAAATCGTTTCAAATAAACAAATTATTAATGACAACAGTGCCTTCAATATATCCACCCGTTAAGAGCTAAAAATGTATACATTTGAAACAATTTCTTCCAATATAACCATACCTTTTCATTTACGGTCGTTATCCCATTAATCTATTTGAATATCACAATGTTATTGATATTGTCGATGACCAACAAGTAACTATAGAAAGTTGAAACAGGTTAATCTTTTCAAACCAAGCGTTCTAAAGGAAAAGTGATTTAAAAATCGAGTGTTATTTTTGATCGCGGTTTGTGAAAAGAGAAAAGTAAAAATTATATCTACTCCTACTAAACATGTTGCATAGCTTTCTCGCATAGTAACTTAGTGTATTCTCGCTGCTTGATGAGAAAGTAGGCCTGCAGATCAAAAACTCTTACTGATCGTTCTTTGTTTTCGAATTTTTAAGTTAATATGAATTGTACAATTTATTAAAACACACAACTTGAATTATTTTTCATAAATTCATTAGAAATCAGTTTTATAAAAAGGGACCAATTTAGCTTTTCTACCTGCAACATTTTCCGAATATGGCATGTAAAGTTTCAACAATTGATGTATATTTTCTTTATTTGTTATTGGTTACAACAATATGCGAAAAAGTAGAATGGGGCTAAAGATTGGTTGTACATTCTTTGAAATATATACCTAATTACGCAATTTTTTTTCTTCAAACCTGTTACTTTGTCTAGTTCTTAGCTAAATTGAGAATTACTCTTTATACCATTATATTTAGCTGGATTTCCTTGTCTTTTAAATGTATCCATCAGATTTTACATTTTTTGTGACGCTTTTTCTCATTGCTCTGTAACCACTGTCTTTTTCATGAAATGTCGAATACTATACTCATTTCTGTTTCGACTTGATGAATACATACAAGTTGTTTTTATCAAGGTTTTTATAGCCGACCGTTTTATGCAGGTTTTATCCGGACTTGTTGAGTTTCGTTTCATTTCTATCAGCCTCTGAATATTTTTGTGCTAAAAAGTTTCAACGAGAGTTTTAAATAAAACTACCTATGAAAAGTTAGAAAATATTTGTATATTGATGAAAAGTGGCCCAATATATTTTGATTATCACTAACCCTAACGTCAGAGGATTCAATCTAATCAATTCCTCTATGAACAATTCTAAAACATTTGGACTCAAACATTTTATTATATACTTTTATTGTTTTGAACGATTTTTAAAAACGAATTATTTTCTCTGGAATAACTTTGAGACGTATAGAGTTTTCAACAAAAGTTGTCAGAAAAATATATTTACAGCACCATATTTGTGACCAAAAGATAACTTATCTTATCAGAAGAGAATTATTTTTGTTCGCAATGGATTTTTGAGTACATTTACCTCGTGACTACTATTATATGATAAAAAATTGTTTTCGTAAATGTTCTCATTTTTCCAGTAGTAGAATCGATGATAAATTCTGGTTCTTAGTTGAGTTTCAATCAAGTTTGAAACAAATTTCGTATACTTTTCTGAATGTGGGTATTTACTGTTGACCATTATCTAAACTTGAATAACAAGCATTTGAGAAAAAAAATAGATGAAAATATGAAAATGAAAAATAAATGAAATTATATACGATGAAAACCTGAAAAATTATGTAGAAAAAAAAACAAACAATGTGGCTCTCAAATGAAAATGAATAAAATATAAACCAGTGAAAACGCGAAATAACAGAGGCTGAAAAAAGAAAGATAAATATTGAGCTGAAACAAATTTTGACAAATAAATAAATGAAATATAAAGACGCTGCAAAAGATTTCAATAAGGTTGTTTCTATAAGTAATAACACTTTTATTTTAAATCACTTGTTTCAACTTTATAATTAATTTTTTTTCAGCCTTTTGTCATCTCATTCGGTCCCTAGTTATATATTTCATTCATTTTCCTGCTCTTAATAATTACCTGTAGGTTTTTTATTCAACCCTGAGTACAACCCTCAGGGTTATGTGATGTACAACTTGATGTGAAATGTGCTTTCTTCAGCCCCACGCCTGTTTCCGAAATCAAATGTTTGAAATGAAGTGTATAATGTTTTTATTTTGATTAATAAGGAAGGGTCTACTCTCGGTTTTGGGCTTGTTGTTTAAGACAGGTAGATGGTTTTTTTTGTCTAATCCTGTTAATGTAGCTGAATTACTTTGTTATTCAAAATGTTTATCATGGTAGGCTATGAGTTTCACATACTTTTTTTTAAATCGGTAGAATGACAGCTGTGACAAAACCAAATGAATTTTTTTCACTCTTTACAACATTTGAATTTGCAGTTGTTCTAAGACATTTTAGTTTCCTCAATTTCCATTGAATTTTTTTCTTGTCGCTTAAGTTGGATACTTGGATTGTCACCACTGATACTGATAAAAAAAAATAATCCTCTATCGACGTTATTGTAAGCGTTGTTTTTATTTTTTTTAGTTGGGGCTTTTGCTACTTCAACTATGAAGTTGGTCAACAATGAAAAGTCTGAGCTTGTCTTTTTTGTGTCTTCCTATTTTTAAAGTTTGTAACACGGTCATTCAATGCATATGGATATAACACGGAATTTGCGCTTGAGAAAAATGAATGAAAGTTTCTAAAAATTAAAGAAAAGACAAAATCGGTTCGTACAACAAATATTATCATGGAATTGAAGCAGACATCATCCCCAAGATTACTGTACATTGTAAAGTTTGAAAGAGTCATATGAAATTTCATCTCCCAAATTATCAAATACTAATATTAATTTATATTTAGGAATGGAAAAATTGAATAGCAAGTTGATGAAATCGTAGTAAAATACCGACATTATGAGTGAAATTTAAAAAAATCGGTTTTATCAGATTAGCTGGTAGTTAAACTAGCATAGCTCACTGCTATGAAAAACACCCCATTTGAAAAGTACAGGTTTGAGCTGAAATTTTGTAAATACAATTCAAGTACCAAAGGAGTTTAGTATATATCTTTTATGCTTTTTTCCGGAATACTCAATTCAGTCTTCGTTGTTTCAACCCAGTTTGTTTTAAATGGATATTAATCGGTTATTTTTTGTTTCAGAACGGTTTGGCCAACGCAGACTCAACGGCAGGAGCAGTGCGACTTACTTTATCCAGAATGGCATCTAACCCTGTAGGACAAGCTAGTCCTAACCAGCTTGCAGCCATGCTATTAGGAAATATCACCACTCAACATCGAAGGCTGGAACGCACGCAGTCAGCGCCCGCCCCGCCTGTAACTGCCCCGGCGGCGGCAATAACTGCCACTACAGTAAACACGTCGCGCTACAAAACGGAGTTGTGTCGGCCATTCGAAGAATTCGGGGTGTGCAAATATGGCGATAAGTGTCAGTTCGCGCATGGTATGAACGAATTGCGCAGTTTGGCTAGACATCCGAAATACAAAACTGAACTATGTCGCACTTATCATACTGTCGGTTTTTGCCCCTACGGACCTCGATGCCATTTTGTCCACAACCAAGATGAAGTGGTCATGCAAAAACCGGCACCGCCAGGAATGTTGGCTACCAGAACAACAAATGCATCGCGTCCCCGACCGGCTGCTCTCAGTCCGTCTCTTTCCCTGGATAGCCCGAGCCCTCCTTGCAGTTTGAGCCAGTCTCCTACCTCTTCGATGGGATCGTTTTTCAGTAGCGAGCCTGAGCTACACTCGCCTATTTTGGATGACCAGCGTCTACCAGTTTTCAATAGATTCCTAGATAGGACGCAATTGCTCATGAAAGAATTAATGCTGTAGTGCATTCTCAATGGCTGATTAATCTAAACTGTTCTCACTTATTTTTCTACCAAACCATATGATAAAACGAAACCCATTCAAAGGACTCTTATACTTTCAAAAATGAAAATGAATTATATCTATTATTTCTAGAAGAGTCCCATTTTTATTTCATTGAGTGCTATTTGATTTTATTTTATATATTCGCCAGTTCCATGGCGCTGACTAATGTAAATTATTTACAAATTCAGTTTTTCCTAGTGGTTCCTCCAGTTGTTTCATTTCATTCCAAATCCTTACTTGTAGCTATACTGTTTAACGATTTTGCTGGACAAGTTGCTATTGTTCCCTGGTTTGGTAGAGAAAAAGTATCAAGAGTTTTCCTTTAAAATCCAACTCAGACTTTATTTAATAACAGTGTCTTATTTATGTTACAGATAATTATCTCCGCCAGAATGGCGGCGTGATTTTGATATTGTGTGATTTTTAAATATTATTAAATTTATAAGAGGTGTGTTTTATACGAATGTTGATACGTGAATGTGAAAGTTAGAATAAGTCAAAGTCATCGGTCTCGATTCGTTACATTCCGTGATCGAAGTTTATTTATTATTTTTATTGCCGCTTTTTCTCATTTGTTTTCCCTTTTGTGTGCCTATATTCATGCGACCGATGAGAGAATAGGATTTTTTGTTATTTAAATCATTATTTAATTTGTGTGTTTTCTCAATCAACACGTTTATGTTATATTTTATTATAATTTATATGTAACTTATTATTTATACCGCAATATTTAGAGACGATCGTGCTCATTGTCAGTCGGCTTCAGCTGGCTGGTCGGGAGTTCGCGCAATACCTGTATATTATTTATGTATCTAGCAAATAATGCATCTTTGTATGATTGATTATCAATAAATTATATTTTGTTCTTTACTCCGCTGAATGTTTTTATCTGTTCCAATTCGCTGAATGCTGAGCAGAGGCTTGGCGCACCCAAAATCGCCCACTGTGATCAGTTATGAGATTGCACAATGTTGCCAGATAGAACTCGGTGCTGGATTTCCTAAATTGCAATTAATAGAAAGGGGCATAACTTGAATAAAAAATACTATTTTTTGAAATAATAGTGTCTGGATGCGAAAAAGCAAGTGAGACATGAGTGGAACAGCCTATTCGTGTGACACCTTATGTCGGCGTTGGTGGTTTGACCAATCAACTGACAGAATTTTGGGAAGCTTTCCTGAAACTTATCAGAAAATGAATCCACATGTTTCTAGAAAGAAATGTTACTTAATGCAGTCAAGCTGCTGGAAAATAATTCATCTTTTGAATTCCATGAAATTGTTTCCCAGCAGCTTGACTGTCTTCATCTTTCTTGATTTTATACCATTTCTAGAAACATTAGGATTCGTTTTCTGATGAAGTTCCAAGAAAGCTTCCCAAATTTCTGCTTTAATGCAGTTGTCAGTTGATTGGTCACTCCACCAAAGCAGACATACTTGACAAGCTAACTTGGGTGTCACACCAATACGTGGTCCCACGTACCGCATATGACTTGTCTGACTTGCAGACCTTGTTGTACTCTAAACCGTAACAAATATGAAGAGGATTAAATGGAAATGAAAGGTAACTATCCTGGATAATAGTATAATGGATTTTAGAAAATATTGCATGTTTATTATTAACACGGCCATCATCAATTATTTTTTTCATACGAACCTGTCTCTTCAGTAACAAATAATGATAAAGCAATAATATAACAATTCAATGATATATCACACCTGTCGTTAGTTCTTTTGTAAATTGTTCTTAGTTCCTCAAAACGTATTCAACTATTGGCATAACTTAGACATGACCCAATAATTTCGATGAGAAAATACACCAATAAAACGAACATTCATCAATTTCCTTCTTGAAAATTTTTGTAATACAATCCTTATTTCAAAGCTGATTTCTCCTGACTCAATAATGCGGAATATTTTCATAAAATACGATTTACAATTGAATAACGTTTCAATATTTTTTATACGCGTGGGCTTCCCTTGGTTTCTGTGTCAGGAAATAAAGTAAACAATAATACAAAATTCAATAGAGTGTAAAAATCTATTTTTTAGGTTTTACGTGAAATAGGAACACCAATTCATATTCACTTTAATGGGTCAACCAGGTCTAGTGCATTTAATCGACATACACCTTTGTAATAGCTGTCTTTAATTTTTTCTTCGTTTTTATGCATTGAGGAAAATACTTTATATTTTACTGTCAACCAATTTCGATTTGAAAGTAATCATAATTATTATCCATTGTTCCTATATGGGGAAGAAATATATTTCATGCAATTCCGTTATGGTCCCGCCCACTAGATGTGCGTTCGTTAGAAGACTATGAGAGGAAGAGAGAGAGAGAGATAATTCTCAAGTCTCCTCCTATATAGTTTTGACAAGCTTTAGTTAGATATATTTATTTTCAATACAACTGATTAGTGAGCTGAAACTAGATACCCTTAATTGTAACTGCATTTACTGTAGTGAATGTCATTCAAAAAATACATTTGAGTTACTAGTCATGGCTGTTGTGAAATATGTAAAAGGCAGTTCAATTCTCCAACGGAAGTCTGATTACAAGTTCGCAAAAATATACATTTTTAATATTTCCACTCACAAACTTCAAATGACTGAGTTTTAATGTTATTCTCCGCACTTGAAAGCTACAGAAGGAAGACATTTTCAAATTGATATTCAGAAAGTTAACATAAAATTTTCAAGAAATAAGGTGGAAATTTGTATTAAATATTAATTGCCTACTATTGTAATGAGATGAAACAGAATATGGATTGATCCGTTCTTTAGAATGAAGAGTGTGTTTTCCTTTTTCCTGGCACCGAAAAAATGTGAAATAACTTGTTTTGAAAGCATTTTTTGTTTTCTACTCACATTAGAAGATGTAGATTAAAATGAAAGAAGTTACAAATTAGAAAAGATAGTACATCCATCAACTACCTACTTTTCTCTCTTCAGATACCAAATTCTCTTTAAATCACTGCCTGAGTTATTTATATTTTCAACATTTTTGAATGGTNATCATTATAAATTATTACTTTATTTATTTTTCAATTCTTATAAAATGTATTTATGATCTATTCTTGAATTAACATTGTACGGATACCAATTATGTTTTCTTTTTTTTTTTTCGATTTTATGGATTTTACTGAATATATTGTTTTTTTGTTGGTTACTGATAGGTATTTTGATAAAATAGATTATCAATCTTTTGTCATTGCAATTTTTTGCTTTTTAAATAATCTTTATCATAATTTCACAAAATAACATATGCCTACCTAATTCAAGTGAACCATCAGAATCGTCACTGTTCTAGAAACTTAATACCAGATGACTTCTTGATCTTTTCTCTTAAAAGGATTCAAAAATCTGAAAATGTTTACATTACATAAGTAGTTGCTGATCATAAGACGAAACTTTTTCTTAAATATTTTAATTCCTATTTAGTGTTACTTTCTGATATTCAATACTACAAAGAAAAAAAACGTTTTCTTTAGGAAATCTTTCAAGTGGAAGAAAATTTTCTTTAGTGTACCTTATTTTTTAAAGTGAATGATAAATATAGAGTTTTCTATGAGCCAGTCACAACGGTTGGTACAAACATATATACAAGTAGATACGAAGCAAAATATACGTCATTTTTTAACAGAGTAGTTTTGAACAACACTGATGGATCTCACATAGATATCAAACACAATGACAATAAACAACAATAACAAAAAACATAATGATAAGCAATAAATACTCAAAAAAAAATGAATGGCCCTTTAGGAAGATGAGTCACTACTCACTACGATTCACTTGTTGATACATAAAATAAATGCCTTCTCTACGTACTTGTTCAGTTGAAAAACATCAATATGTAGCAACCGAGCATACTCAAGGTAAAATTGTTGGTTGCATAATCTAAGTTATATTCGGTCTTAGACAAGAGATTCTTCTCTTGTCCAAGTATTCGGTAAGTATATATACCTGACCTGTATGAGAAGCTTCTCCACCTAAAGTATGCCTGATTTTGAGAAAATTATACAGGAATTCCTTACACTTTTATTATTTTGACAATAATAAAAAATGTTGTAAACAGCATTTAATTTCGGGGAAGGATAAACCTTGAAACTAATGGTTTTTGGGATTTTAATAAACGTAGGCTGCAAAAATATAAGAAACTGGAGAACTGAATTTTTTAAGAAAGAAAGATTTTGGCTTCTACTTCTTCATTTTTCACAAAAAAAATTGGAAAATTTCCTAGGGAAGAAAGAAAGTAATTGATTTCAAAATGAACTCTGTACAAAAATATGTAGATCATGCATAGAAGTTACTTTCAGACACAAACATGAAGAAAAGCCCTCTCGAAACAGCTACTTTCATATAAACATTGAATTACACGAAAGAAAGAGTACTTTCGAAACAACTACTTTTATATGAACATTGAAAACTATACAAAAAAAAACGTCCTCCAAATATTCATTATGAAATTGAATCAGATATCATTCATAGGATTCGTACACAATAACACAATATAGTGCATGAAAATAATAAAATATCACTTACATGAAACACTGCCTTCCTCAATGACAAACATGGATGTTTCGAACATTTGTCTTATTGTTTCTTCAGCACCACTCTGAATAACATTACGAAATGAAGCACTCAATTCATTCATAATATTACGACTTTATGTCACGATAAGTTGAATCTACCCATGTAATCGATGACATTCATTAGCTTATTTGATTTAACCCCATGATAGAAATCTTGTTCGAATTGAATGATACCTGATTCAATTCCATAACGAATGTTTGGAGTACAAACTGAATTGAAAAAATTTTTTTGTATAGATCAATGTTCACATAAAAGTAGTTGTTTCGAAAGCACCCTTTTTTTTCGTCTAATTCAATTTTTATATGAAAGTAGTTGTTTAGAGAAGATTTTTTCTTTCAGTTTGTTTCTGAAAGTTACTTCTATGCATCTTTGTAAAGAGTTCATTTTGAAATGAATTGCTTTCTTCCTTCTTACTGTCCCATATCTTTTGTATAACTATGCAGATGTACTCTATGGACCAAACCTCACAATTAGGAACAATAAAAGACTTCAAAAGATTCAAAACTCCTGCCTTCGCCTTATTCATGGGGTACCTAGAAGGAACAGAATCTCATCAAAGCTGTCAGAAACTTGTTGGCTCAATATGAAAAACCGAAGGTCGTTACACTCAGCGTGTATCTATTCTAAGGTTATCTGCAATAAAATTCCTACTTATCTACATAATAAAATTACTTTTTGAAAAAAATTGAAAATTTAACTACTAGGTAAACAAACTTGACTACTTAATAATTTATCCATATGTATATGTTTTTCGTTATTCGAATGCTGTTTGATATCAGGTGTATAATGTATTGCTTTTCCTATATTTTTTGTATTTGTTATATTTTTGTTGCCAGTTCTCGTAGCTGGGGCAAATTGTCTAAGAACAATTCGTTCAGGCCAGTCTCAACTCCCTACACAGTAGGTTAGTGGACTGACACCTATCAGAAAACAACTACTCCCCTGGCTAATACCACGAAGGACGTTGGATTATATCAGACAGGTGTCAGTGCAGGATTCTTCACAGAAGTTATTCCAGCATATTTATGCTGTTGCCGATACAACTGCCGCAATAGATTTTCAATTATTGGAACACACTTGCAGACCGGTTTCGGGCTGTTTGGCCGGTATGCCTGTAGTGTTCTATACTGCCTCTTCGCCTCTTATTCATAATATATATCAATGACCTCTTTTCCCATATGTTACCAAATGAATGCATAGCTTTTGCTGACGTCACAACTTTCTTCAGCACTATCAAGAATGAGAGTGGGCTACGCAATCAAACTATCTTGG